ATTTGAAAGGCTAAATTCAGTTTGTCTCCAAAAGAGCATTGGTTCTTAGAAACGAAACAAACGAAAGCCAGGTGTGGTGATGCATGCCTAATCTTCGCCCTGTCAGGAGGCTGAGGCAGGAGGATTGCCATGAGTTTGCGGCCAGCCTGGGCTATATAGTGAGTTCAAGTCCAGTCTGCACTGCATAGCAAGACCCTGTCTCAAAGAAAGAAAAAAGAAACACATGAAATAAACTATAATTGTGGTTATAATAATGTAGGATTGTACATATTTAGGATTTCTAAAAATCTCTTTAGAGGATAGCTCTTTTCTGTTCGGTCTTTTCCTCTTTGCCTTACCACCAAAACTTTGAGAGTTTTTGTAGAAAAATAGAACCTTTTTTTCCAGGTTTTAATTCCCTCACTTGTAACCTAATTTTTTTTTTTCATGTGTTAAAATGTGAATTCTGATTGAAACTTGATTTATTTTTATGTCGGAATTTTATGTATATAAGTCAGTGACATTCCATGTGATGCAACTACAGTTACCAAGAATTTTTTTTTTTAAGGCAGCTTCTCACTATGCAGTTCAGGCTGGCCTTGAGCTCACTTTGTAGCCCAGGCTGGTCTCGAACTCAAAATGATCCTCCTGCCTCAGCCTCCTGAGTGCTGGGATTACAGGCATGTGCCACCACGCCTGGCCCACCAAGAATATTTTTGGCAATCTCTTTCTGAGGGTCTTGGTTAAATTCTTCCCTGTATCAGAAGGATGACAGATTATTATTCTTTGATTTTTGCCTCTCCATTAAAAATTTATCAAAAATAGAAAAAGAAATCAAAAACTAAATGTTATCAGTGAGTTCTAAATGGCTTCTCCTAAAAGATCACAGAATGTTTTGATAGTAGCAAGCCATTCATTTATCACACATTTATTGAGTACCTCACAAATGTCAATTTTTTTTTTTTTTTGGTTTTTCTCCGGTACCGGGAACCGAACTCACGACCTTGTGCATGCCAGGCAAGCGCTTTTGCCGCTGAGCTAAATCCCCAGCCCACAAATGTCAATATTGAGATCCCACATTTACAGAAGTATAGACAGATAGTGTATCTCAGAAATCTTGTTTTCTACGAATTCTGGAGGTCGTGCAGATGTTGTATAGAGCTGTGCTACGACAACTACTAAATACGTGCTGCCAGCCACTCTTGGTTGCTCAGCTATGTTTTCCTCGGCAGTGTTTCTGACAGGCAGCGACCGCATTCCCATCCTCGGTATGAAGAGTCTGAAGCTGGTTATCCAGCCGACAGGAGGGGGTGAGGAGTACCTCCCGGTGTCTCACACCTGTTTCAATCTTCTCGATCTTCCAAAATACACAGAAAAGGAAACTCTGCGCTCTAAACTGATCCAGGCTATTGACCACAACGAAGGCTTCAGTTTAATATAACTGTGGAATTACAAACTGTTCGGTTCAGTGCAAAAGCATTAAAATTATTTGTTTTTCTTGTGATGAATTCAGCAAAGTGTCAGAGGTACTGTTACTATAATTCTTGCAAAATATTCAATGCTGTGAGTATTCATGGAAGCCAAAAAAATACTAAAATGAACAAACTTAATACTAAACTTACTGTACAGAACCATGAATTTTTTCCCCATCTTCATAAGTATACTGTTGTGAACACATTAAAGTTTTACTAACATGCTTTATGAATTTGAGTATCTCAGAAATGATCTGACTTGTGAGTGCATGGAAATGTTACTTTTCAATCACCGGGTGAAAAACTTTTAACTTCAGCCTGGAATAGTAATTTGATTATTTTTCCATCTTGTAAATAATGTTCAGTTTTGTAATAAAACAGTTACGTTCTGCTATCAGTACAGTTTCCATGGTTATAATTGAACTGAGATGACTTTTAAAGGTTAAAAATAATGATTTAATCTTAATCTAAGCTTCTGTAAAAAGGAAGAAAGCATGGTAGAACAGTTTCGCCCTTTTTTTGCTAGAATGAATGATGTCCGTGCAAAGCTAAATTACAGATAGGCATTACACCAAGTAACGTGTGGTTCTTTCCTCTCTGAACTGAGACGCTGATAGGTTAGCAGCAAGCTGACTGACTCTCTAGATGGAAGGACTTTGAAACACTGGCTACTCTGAGAGCCGGTCACTGACCACAGCTTCCAGAACTGTTGATGCTGCAGGTTAATACTGAGTTGATCTGTAGTGCTCCACAACTGTACCCTTGAATTCTGAGGATAGATTTTAACAGTTTTATGGTGCTGGTGCTGAGTTATCTCATGTCATTCAATTGTAAAGGTGAACCAGTGGGATATATGTGACTTTCTGCTACAGTGCAAATATTTATTTTTTAAATTTATAAAAATATGCCGTGAAAACTGTTTAAATAATAAAGATTTATTGGTTTAATATTTAAACGTCAGTGGTTCTCATGTAAGATTCAAAATTCATCAAGAAGGGGGCTGTCTCAGGAAAGGTGGATTGTGTTCCCATTCCCACATAAATATGTTCTACCAAGGTCCAGTCACATCTGAATTTCAAGAAAAACCCTGAAAAATTTTTTCCATACCTCATTTTGCATCAAAGCTTGATCTGAGTCATTGAGATATTTGTAGTATCACTGAGTGGGACCATGGCCCTTCGGCGTGCTGTGTATGTGCTCTGACTACCTAGCAGAGGGTGGAGCCAGGGCTGGGGTCAGGGCTTGTGGGTCTGTACTTCTCAGTAGTTTAGCTTCAGTGATGATACTGCTGCTGAGCCGTAGGTACCTTCACAGAACGCACTCGAACAATGCTCTCCCTTAGGTGGCATTGCACCACTAACCTGTGCGTCCATCTACTCCCTGAGGGGTCGCTGTTCAAAAAACACATACTATGTGTGGGGTGCTTTTTCCTTTAGTGACCTTCGTGTGCTGTGAAGCTCACTGTGAAACAGTAGCCACTCTAAACTAAGAGTTCCCTGACCGGGAAAACGTCTTCTCTGGGAGCACAGACCTATAAAGCTTAATGTGGGTGAGAGTCTTCCTCCTCAGACTGCTGCAGACTGTAGTAAAGCAGTAGTAACAGCAAGATCCATGGTAGGAAAAGCACCATCTAGAGAATTTTCAAGTAGAAAGGTCTCTAGCTGGGCATGATGGTGCATACCTATAATCTCAGCACCAGAGGGCTGAGGCAGAATTCCAAGTTCAAGCCCAGCCTGGGCAATTTATCAAGACACTATCTCAGCTGACCACAGTGTCTCACTCCTGTAATCCTAGCACTCAGGAGGCAGAGGCATGCAGATCAGCAGTTCAAAGCCAGGCTGGGCTCCACAGTGAGTTCAAGGCCACCCTGAACTACATAGCAAGACCCTGTCTCAGAAAAAGTCAATATAATAAAAAGTAAAGTGGGGGTATAACTCAGTACAAAGGCCTTGTGTTCAGTCCCCGGTACCCCAGCCCCCCAAGATTTTTTGTGCTTTGTAAAGCAGAGTAGCAGTAGATAGACTGAGCTTGCTGAGTTGTACAGACTGAGGTGGCCACAGTAGAAAGTATTTGACGTCTGCTTGTGTGCAGTGTCTGGGTGGTAGTCCCCGAAAGTCCGTCGTTCCCTCACATTTCTGACTGCATTTGACTTAATAGCAGTTCTGAAGGGGAGCATGCTTGGCACAGTCCTTCCCCAGAGGCTTGGGAGCGAGGGCAAGCACTTCCTGTCCGCACACGCTCGGGGCCCTTCTGCCCTTTCCTCCCTGCTCTGCCCCGTGATGAAGTATTTCATGGAACTAGAGGCTCCTCTCAGGTCAGCCTCCGAAAGGCAATGTTAAAAATCCGAAGAGCCCTCGCCTGTTCTTTTCCAGAGAACCGCGCTTCTTGGCTCCTGCTGCGTTTAGGACACCAGCCGGTCCTTTTACATACAAGCCCTGCCGCATGCCCTACCCCTGAGAGGTGAGGCTGAGCCGTGCAGGTTCACAGATAGCTAATATAGTCCCCATCTGACGGCCATGTTTGGGAGAGGCCTGGGCCGGCTCTCCGTCCTGTGTCTGCTGGTATTCCTTCCAGCTTGAGTCTGAGTGGGTCACTTAGGTAAAGATCCACCAGACGCAGAGGCCCTCCCCATCCTACCCTGCCTCTAGGTTGTAGGTCTATAAAATTTATCTAACAAGCCAGGCCTGGTGCAGCACGCCTGTGATGCCGGCATTTGGAAGGCTGAGGTGGGTAGTAATACAAAAGTACCGTTGAGTGAAGGTACACCATTATTTTATGAAAACTAAGAAATTCCTAAACCATCGTGACATTAAATTAACCTATTACATCAGTGAGTAGCAGATGCTACCCTAACTAAAGGGGTTGGAGAAGACTATGGGTAAAATGAGGTTTTGCTGGGTACACAACACTTCCAACACCTGTGTACTTCCTTCCAACTTGCGTGCCTGTGGAATATTACTGTTCCTTAACTTGGGGACACATCCGAGCGCAGTATGCCTGTTTGCAAAGTCTTCTGTTTCAGTCACAAACTCTGGCTCTGGTTACACATGTGGCCATCTTCCCCAAATCCATACAGTGAATTAAGTTTGTGAACCAAGGTACCACTGTATTGTGTAAGATTTTTGTAGGTAATGTGGGAGGACACTGCTATCAAGACTGTGCTCATCAAATACACATTTGAAGACCAAGTTCTCTAGTCAGCCTCAAAAAGTTGATAGTAGCGGAAGGCAGAGTCAGCATATGTTTGTAGTCTAACTCAGATTCTCAGCTAAACCGGCGTTACCACCATGCACCGCTGCACTCAGCTTAACCTGGCCTTCTGGAGGCCTTGAGCAGCCCGCGCCTTCCCCCGCATTTCCCTCCAGCCTCAACAGTGGAAGTACTAATGTTTGAAACATCTGGTGCTGTGCCATTTGTTACAGCCAGCACGACAATGTCTGCAAGCACTGCTGGTTATAGACTGTTACAAGCTGAAGAAATGTATGAGGAGGACGAAGCTCTTACAGCCCTCACAGTTGTGTGTGTTCTGCTTAACTTAATCAATGTAAGTTACCAGAAAAAAGTCAAATGACAATTTTAATAGACTTGAAAACAGTGTACAAGTATAAAACACTGGTTCTGTATTTCAAAAGTTGGAGGAAGATATCCAGTCATTAAACAGTCTACAAAACATATGCCAGTAGATTACATAAAAGACTATGTACAATATAAAAAGAGCTGAAAACAGTCTTCACTGTAAAAATAATTTAAAACGAACTTTTCAATGTAAAATATCATCTATCGCACAGACGATCATGCAATGGAGACAGGACGCTGCGTTCTTCAGTGTGCCCGTGGATTCACATGGAGCCTCCCCTAGGCAGAGAATCGGCCTTCGGAACAGTGTTCTCTGTGGGCAGTCACGGTCTAGCTGGACATTGTATGCATAAAGAACAGCTATATTTCAAACCCTTTTTATTGTAATAAATACTAAACCAACACAGGAATACTTTATAATTTGGGAGGTAATGTTAAAAAAAAAAAAAAGCTTGGAAAATAAATGTTTACTGTGCAATTTTACAAAGTATGAACTTTTTTTGAAATGCTAGAAGCTTCTGCAGTTGAGAAAATTGATCGCTAGTTTTAAGGCAGGCTAAGCTTTTAAATAAAGGTACATTGTAAGAACTAGCTTCATTAACTATTCTGCTATTACAGGTTACATCACGTTCCTCTCCATAATACTAGGCTAACAGTTTGGTATTCATTACACCAAATCCTCCCATCAGGAGACGTGTACTTTCTGGCTGAGTAATAATTAATATCTTTTTACTTTGGAACTGTAATCAGGGGTCTGTTGCTCTCCACTTATGGAAAAACAGCAGTCCAAAATATTACACACTCCCCACTAACAGGACCATTATTACAGACTCAGAAAGGATTTGCATATTCACATCTTGGCAGTTTAATACTTGTGGGAAAGGACCAATGCAAGCTCTACCACAGTGATAGGTAAACAATGGCAAATATTTCAAAACTAAGGGGGTACAGGCAGGCACTATTGTTTCTAAAGCAACTGAAACATTTCCAAAGCGTTGATCTTTCAGGTTAGCTTTAGGAGCCGATAGAGACATTAACTACTGTTGTCTGCAGGAAGCACAAAGACCCTCTTCACCTGAGCGACACACACAGCGCTCTTGAAGCTCTTAGCACCAAGTCCCACTCTAGAAAAGATGACCGTGCGCTCCCAGACACTGCTGACTCCCTCCCTCACGCTGCGTGCCATCGGCTGTGACTGTAAACAGCTAGCTGCCACGAGGTTTTCTGGAAAATGCCAGTGTTTAAAAATAGGTAATTGTGCTACAGAATCAAAAGTTCAGCAGAACAGAGATTTTGAGGACTTCAGACCTTCAAAGTTAACAAAGAAAAGTGAAAATACCATTCTTTGGTCTAGATAAGCTGTTCCCTTTACATTAATTTAACATTCCAATGGCTTTTTGATAACTTTAAAATGTTGAAACTCACTAAGCAAGAACAAAATCATATATACATATGGGTAATACAGTTAGCCTTTAAAGAAAATCAAAATCCTGACCAACAGCTGATTAAAGATACTTAGTACCTTTCTTTAAAAAAAAGTTAGTGTTGAGTATACAAATACAGAAATAATGGAAGTTAAAAAACTATCCATGAAAAAAAGGTATTTTACCAGTCTATAAATATCACACCTTTCTGGTATCCTTACTCTATGGAGTTCACAAGTAAACATTCATTTTGACATGCTAAAGTTCCTAATGCTGGTGGAACAATTCTTGTACCTGGACATTACATTATGATTTGTTTGATGGACAGTTCATGTCTGTTACTTCCTGTTTCGTGGAGATAGTGTCATTAACTGCCTCATGATCACCTCCATCAGCCCCAAATCCAGTTCCCCCCGCAATCTCCGGAACCTCGGGATCGTCTTCCAAGCCGTTGTAGAACTCTTCAATCTCACTTTCATCCTCCAGGGGTTCTTCCAAGCTGGGACTCTGGCACGTGCCACTATCACTGTTGCTGCCACAAGAACTGGAAGATAACACGTCGTCTTCAGAGTCTGAATACACCTCGGCGCCATGGAAAATGTAACGATTCGGTGGTAAAAACAGATACTGATTTCCTGAAATACAGTAGTAAGAGAAATATTACTTTCTCCTTTGTCAGACTGAACTGTGACTGGACCCTCTGGAGTTAAGTACCTGCCCCAGCTCTGCCTTGTGAATATCACTAGAGAACACTACTAGTGGCCTTTTAAAAAAACAGCTGGGGTAGTCCAGGTGCCAATCTTAGTTCCGCCACTAATTAGCTTTGCACACACTGGAAAGAAACCACTTTCAAATTAACATTTTAACTTTTTGAGGTACAATCTTGCTCTGTGGTTCAGGCTGGCCTTGAACTTGCAGCAAGTTCTACCTCAGCCTCCTAGTGCTAGGATTATAGGTGTGCACCACCACCCCTGGCATTTAACAACTCATTCCACATTTCTCCACGTGTTTTCCTACTTTAGCACCTTTTTAGCTGGGCATGGCGGCACATGCCTGTAATCCCAGCACTCAGGAGGCAGGCAGGAGGATCACTACGAGTTCGAGGCCAGCATGGGCTACATAGTGAGTTCAAGGCCAGCCGGAATTACGCAGTGAGACCTGGTCTATCTCAAAAGAAAAAAAAAAGTATCACTTTGAACCCATGAATACTAATAAAGTCTGCAGCATAACCTTCAATCCCACCTTAGTAAAATTGGTTGCACCCCCTTTTTTTTTAGCTAAAAAGGAAGTTCACAATTCACAATTCTAAAACTTCATTGAGAAGTGTTCTACCTTTGTGCATATCCCACACAATCACCACATTGGCACATACAGTATCACTACAGAAACCAAGTTTCTCTGTGAAGTGGCTATCTGACTTCAGCCTCATATGTGATAGCTCAGCCCTGAATCCACAAAACTGGCACAAGTTTGAAAACAGTGTTCAGTTTTCTAAAATACTGGTATTAAGAAGGGCATGGTGGTGCAAACCTGTAATCCCAGCACTGAGAGGCTGAGGCAGGTGGACTGCTCTGAGTCTGAGGCCAGCCCACGCTACATAGTGAGACCCTATTTTAAGAGGGATGAGGGGGAATGGCATGGTATTAGCACCAGCAGAATCTCACCCTGCATCTCTAACAGCCTTGGTTTGCTCCTCTTTCAAGAGACCTCGGCACAGGGTCTCTTGCCCCTGTGTACTTTTGTTTCTGTAGCTTGGGTCTGTACTTTTTTTTTTTTTTTTTTTTTTTTTTTGGTTTTTCTCCGGTACCGGGAACCGAACTCACGACCTTGCGCTTGCCAGGCAGGCGCTTTTGCCGCTGAGCTAAACCCCCAGCCCCTTGGGTCTGTACTTCTAAAACTGTTACTGTCCGCCCTGATTGCCCTAAAGTAAGAGCTAAATAATCCATTTCTCAGCACAGGTACTCAATACCTTTCTATGTTTTTGTCTCTACTTGGTAACCATCAAGCTAAAGTTTATTTAATTCATGCTTCCATTTCCTTTTTAAAATTCTTACAATTGTGTAGTGTACACACTGGTTTATTCTCTTTGCAGATTAGAAAACCGATTAAAAACTTAGCCCAAGATGGAGCTGAGACTGTGCAGGTTCACTTCCAAAGCTGTTACCTTTGGAAGGGTAAAACTCAGCATTGTAACATGAGAGAGACCGCTCCAGGGTTACTTTCTCTTTTGTTTGTTTGTTTGTTTGTTTTCCGGTATTGGGAATCAAGTCACGACCTGGCGCTTGCCAGGCAGGCGCTGTGCCACTGAGCTAAATCCCCAGCCCCTGCCAGGGTTACTCTGCTTTCTGGAGGGCGGGTGGTCTATGTGATGAATCTGTCAGAGATGATCAAGGAGATTCCTGGTACAGAAGGCTGACGGTGCACAGGCAGCTGTATGTGACAGGGAGTTACACTGCCTGTCAGCAGTTTGTCTTTTGTCTTGCCACATTTGCAAACCTAAGCAGTCCTTTTGTTTTGTTTCCTCTGGGAAGAATTCCCTTATTTTTAAGTCCCTAATGCTTAAAAAGTTAGGCTCGGGGGTGGGGCTGCATATGCAAGTTGCCTAGTACACACGCTGGATCCCTAGCACCACAGGAACCAAGCTTTTGGGGGTGTGTTCAAAATAATCAAGCACTTTGTTGTAGTGAAGTATTAATGAATATTTATCACCCCCTTTTACAATTCACAAACATGAGTAGATTTCATTTTTTCTCCAGAACTCAGTGTAGTGCCTTGCTGTAGAGAGAAAGCCTACAGACTTATTCAGCTGAACTACAATTCACTTACAGCAAGTGACTGGAACACTAAGATTTGATAGTGTCCACCAAGTATGGTATGAGACAGTATTCTAAATTGTATAAAACTCTCAGACCTAGTGTAAAGAAGGATAAGTTGAGATTTCCTCCACAGCACTACTTTGAACTAAACATTAATTTCTAAAAAGTTTATTTCACTTAGGTTAATTAATACTAATGGATAAACACTTTGCATGTGTCAAAACCAGGTAGATGCTACTCCTGGTATTTACTGAAGAACCTATGTTTTGTAGATCGTACACAGCATGGCACAGGGTTTAAGAGCAGCCTCAGGACAAATAGGCCTGAAATATAACCTGGCTTTTCTAGCTGTTACCTTGCATGGGGTACTTCACTTCTACGGTCCTGTTTATCCACCTAGACCAAAGTAGTAGTAGTTTCTACCTCATGAGATTAAAATCAGATGCATAGAGTTTAAGGCCAGCCTGGGCTAGCTACATAGTGAGTTCAAGGCATAAGCAAGATCCTGTCTCTCAAAATACATACATACATACATACATGTAATTACACCAGATGCATATAAAACAGCTGATCTAAAGTAAGCACCTGCACCTGAGTCTTAGTCATCATTTCTGCAGCTACAGACATGGCAGAGCATTGACTCTAAAGGCACTCGATTTAATCTCATCTTCCCATCCCTTAGGAAATACTTGAAGGGTGCACTTCAGCTCCCCACTACCCAAGTCAGGTCTGGGGGTACAGCTCAGTGGCAGAGAGCTCTGCCTAATGTACACTAAGCCCTGGGTTCCATCCTCAGCCCCATTAAAAAAACATTGCCACCAACTTAAGCTCAAACTGCTAATTTCTTGAAACTACTTTGTTACAACGATCACACTTTTTAAAGTGGTCCAACAGCATTTCTTACCGTCAAGCCGTTTACTAATCTGCTCCTTTGCAAGTCTGTTGGGCCAGCACTTTCTCACTGTTTCAGCAACTGAAGTTCTTCCACTTTTCTCTGCAGTATTGGAACCAGTGTCCTTCAAATCTGGACTTTCCACACTAACACTCTCAGCACGTCTAGTAGAAGTCTGTACTTCCTGCGGCTTTTCTTCTGCATAGTCTTTTGATTCAGACGCGTCCACACCATCCGCGCTGCTCTTAGCTGCCTGCTCCAGAAGAGTGGCAACCACTGAAGAATCCGGTGACGCTCTTTCTGGGGAGCTGGAGTCTTCTGAGATATGCAGTGGTGTTGGTGGGAACTCTGACAAGTGAACCAACTCTTTCTGTGTTCGCGGAGGTTTCTCAGTAATTTCTGAAAGCTTTACAGGGTTGCAACAAAGTTTGGCATATTCACCACCTAACCTGTGACACAACTCATTAATTATGACATCACAGTCTCCAAGAAGTTCTACATCAAAATGCAGATGAGGCAGAGGCTCCCGATTAATCAATATCTGAGGCACTTCATGGGGTATGGAACCTAGAAAAAAGGGAAAACCAAGTAAGTCAGAGAATGGGAGTGGGAGAAAGCTAATAAAACCACAATCAAGAGCCAGGCGCGGCGGCGCACGCCTGTAATCCCAGCACTGAGGAGGCCAAGGCAGAAGAGCGGAGCTCGAGGCCAGCCTGGGCTACGAAGTAAGTTCAAGGCCAGTCTGAACTGCATAGTGAGACCCTGTCTCCAAAGAAAAAAATCCACAACAAATGCGCCATGCATAAAAAACATAGACCTGACTTCCAGTTGCCAAAAAAGAAACCTCCACGGATGCTGGCCAAGCCGCCAAAGCTTGTCAAAGCCACCAGCTGCGCAGCTCTGGCTGTGCTCGTCACCTGGTTAGCTTTGAACAAGGTTTTCACTTTGCACTCTGACCCTCAAGCTCCCTTTGTGTAGACCGAGGCCAATGACGTTTCTTTCCCACAGTGAGGGGAAGTTTAAACAAGTTCAGGAGTTCATGTTCAGATGCTTAGGAGAGCCTGGTGCACAGCGTCAAGTTACTATTCTACTGAAATAGGTACCGACAGAAAGGTGAACGGTCATACAAATGTATACTCTCGTAAGTTCACTTCACGTTTTCTCTGTTATCTTCACCCCTCAACCAGTAAACTAGTACAGCACCACACAGAAAGCTTCGAAGAGGGAAAAGAGACAGGCACAGCAGCATATACCTATACTGGTGCCACTGGAAGGCTGAGGCAGGAGGACTGCTTGAGGCTAGGAGTTCAAGACCAGCCTGAGCAACCAGCAAGACCCCATCTCGAAAAAGAATCAAGCTGAGTAGTAAAATGCCTCTTAGCACACACAAAGCCCTAGGTTCAATCCCTAGCACCACAAAAAAGAAAACTGAAAGGTACCTACATACAAAATGTTTGCATACACAGGTTTTTTTTTTGTTTGTTTTGTTTCGTTTTCCAGTACCAGGAATCTAACTCAGGGCCTCGCACTTCCCAGTTAAAGTATTTTACTTTAATAGAATTTCCTGCCTCAACCTTCAGTGGCACCAGTACAGGTATGTGCCACTGTACTAGTCTTTTTTCTCCTCTTAGAAGCTTTCTGTGTGGTGGTGTACTAGTTTATGAGTGAGGTTTTCTCTGGCTACCAGTGACTGCTGAGGTAGGGTTTGGTTTGATTTGTTTAGTGGTACTGGGATCAGGATTTAATGCTCTGGTCAGGGGTCTGATACTGTCTCCTCTTGATAAATCAAGATAAAGAGATTTTCCCAAACAAAACATTTCTATACAACAAAAACATGCTTGTGTTTGTGTAAGCTAGATCTACACACCAGTCCTATGACATGGCATGGTTGTGTTACAAGAAAGAACTCGTCATCTTGAGTCCCCAAATTCTATCTCACATGAGTGTATTATGCTTCTAACAAGCTATATTTAATATGCGTGACATCAATTAAATTCCAAAGATTAACAAATCATATTAAAAGACTGAAACTACGTAGCCAGGTGTGGTGATGCAAGTCTGTAATCTCCAACACTTGAGATGCTGAAGCAGGACAACTACAAATCCGAGGCTAGCCTGGGGATTTACTGAGAAGCTGTCTCAAAATGGGCTGGGTTGTAGCTCACTGGAAGAGAGCACATGAAGTCCTGGTTCAATCCCCAGCAGTGCAAAAAGAGTAAGAAAAAAAAGGCTGGCAGTGTAAGGAGCAGTTCCATGAGTTTATGTAAATTAACCACTGTCACATAGACTTAGCTGCTTCCCTGCATGTTGATTTCTCTTATGAACTAGAGATCAAGTTCAACATTACTTGTCTTGACAGCCACCGACCCCTGCACCCAAGCCTCACTTTGGCCAATGTGTGTGAACAAGACCACCATCTAAAACCTGAGGCTTAGCTCCTCGCTGCTCTGTTAAACAGCAAAGAGCAAGGTCGCTGGAGTCCTGAGTAGATCCACAACTCACAGCACCACACACCGAGCCCCCCGGAGCCGTCAGCAGCTTACTTGGAATTAGTGCTACTGGTCTCACTTTCAGGGAAGACCCAATGACGATGAGGAGGTCAACTTCGTCTTTGTCATACTTCATGGCTCTGTGAAACTGCTCCGGTAAATTTTCACCGAAAAAGACAATCTCTGGCTTCATGATAGCAAGTGGCTCATCTGGGGGGCACCGGGGACACCGAGGGACCACCTGCGGGTCCCACATTGTGGGTGAGGTCAGGAAGGGAAGGGAAGGCCCGAGTTAGAAGTCGCACACGTGCCCAGACTTCCTAGGGGTGCATTTCAGAATTAAAACAGACGAAACCAGTTACACATGGTTAACTATGCAGCTAAGCACAAGAGGGTATTTATTTCTAAGTGAGTTTTATTTTCTGCTATACTTTCCTGCAGTTTTTGACAACATGGATGAAATACTTTTACCATCATGGAAAACATGTTTTGAAGGATTACTACAACTAATTTAAGATTCCAAATGACAGATACTAAAAGAGAAAGGAAGGAAAAAACTACTGCAACATCTCACTTGTGACATGGCTTTTTATTTTAGGCTTTGATCCTAAGGAGCCAATGTCATGATTTCAAGAGATTATGGGGGAGTATTTTCTTAAGATATCAAAAGCTTCTTATAGTTCACTAGAATTCCCAACACTTAACACTTTCTTCCTGGATCTTTCCGTATCACATAAATACTTGAGTGGGTCAGGTGAAGGCAAAAGAAAAACCAGATCAGAGGGGCTCACGATTTCCTACAATGCACACGATCCGTTACCTGATTGAAAATGTCTCCTCGCACCGCTTCACAGTCAACCTTGTATTTACAAATTAGGCAGGACGCTGTCGCAAAGGAACCTGAAAACAGCCAACATAAGTGTGCTTTATTAAAAGGAGTGTTGTTTCCTGAACCTAACACTAGAGCTATAAAGTCTGACACCAGACAGCTAGAGAGTACTTTGATTTTAGAAGACTCTACAGGAAAATTTAAGAGGATACAGAACTTAAGTACATGTATACACAGAGATTCCAACCCTCAACTGTGAGATGTAATATTGTGGTGTAAAAAAGCTACTCTTTTCACGCCTGCTTGGCAAGTGCAAGGTCCAGAGTTCAATTCCTGGTACCAAAAGAAAGCTACTCTTTTCAATAAAGTATCTCCTCCAGAGCCAAAAAATACAGGTGGAAGGTCCCAACTGTTACCTTAGCTCACAGGTGGTACCTGTTACCTTATCTTAAAAACAATTTACAGATATGCAAGAAAATGGCTAGCACGTACTTTAGGCTGAAAATCTGCATTACTGAATTTTTTTGTTTTGTTTTGAGACAGAGTCTCACTTTATAGTTCAGGCTGACCTCAAAACTTGCAGATACTACTGCCTCAGCCTCCCAAATGCTGGGGTTACAAGTGTGAGCAAGCCACCATGCCTGGCTAAATTACTGAATCATTACATAATTTTTTGAGGGGAGTACTAAGAATCGAACTCAGGACCATGCGTTTCCCAGGCAGGCGCTGTGCTGCTGAGCTATATCCCAGCCTGTTTCTGTTTTTTGTTTTTTCTGTTTTGAGACAGGATCTCTCTATGTAGTTCAGGTTGGCCTTGAACTCTCAGTGATCCTCCTGCATCAGCCTCCCAAGTGCTAGGATTACAGATGTGTGCCACCACACTTGGCGTAATTATTTAGAAGAATATTCATGGTATGCAACAGCAAGATTTTTGTTTTGTTTTGTTTTTTTCTGGTACCGGGAATTGAACTCATGACCTCACGCTTGCCAGGCAGGCACTGGGCTGCTGAGCTAAATCCCTAGCCCAACAGCAAGATCTTTTGAAATCAAAAGTATATTAAGTTGAATATCTGATACTGTGTACAATGAAGTATCAAGGCCAGTGCTTCTGGTTTAATTATTTTTATATCCTACTGTTCTTATCTACATGTAAGAAGATAACATGATTTAGTGATGTTTACGCTCTCATTACTGTATTGTAGCCTTTTTTTTTTTTAAAGACAGGGTCTTGCTATGTATTCCAAGTTGGCCTCAAACTCACTATGTAGTCCAGGCTGGTCTTGAATTCTCAGCAGACCTCCTGCCTCAGTGTCCCGAGTGCTGGAATTACAGTTGTGTGCTACTGCACCTACCTGGCAGCTTGCTTTCTAATCCTGCTTTTTCCTATAAAACTAAATTACAGAAAGCCATTTTGAAGTTTACTAACCATGACATTGAATTATCCTTTGGATTCCTGCAACTTGTTCCAAGGTATCTATATTCTGAGTATAGTTGCGAAGTAGTTTTCCTTCCTTATCGGATAAGGCTATGAATTGATGACAGAGAGACGGCTGGAACTGTCCAGGATATATTTCCTACATAATGCAAAAGGCAGAAAACAAAAATCGATTTATGTAGTAAGTATAACAAACATCCATCCTGCTTAGGCTTAACAAAAAGCAACCAATGATAATCCCCCATATATCAGTTTTAGAAACAAAATATGTTAGCATTTCAAATCATCTAGACGGATGCAACACACACCTAGAAAAAGGAATGTTGCTGTAATACATAAAACTCAGCAATTAGTGAACTTGGTCCCTTGAAGAAAAGGGTAAAGCCGACCCATAAACATGTCTGATAAATGTTAATAGATACTTTAATATAAGTGAGAAGTAATATACACCTTCAGTATCTAATTTTTGTTGGCTGCAAATTCAAAGTTTTCTTTAAGGAAAAGGGGTAAACAAACATATTACAAATATCAAAGATAGGGTGACTTTTTTAATTAAAAAAGCTCTGTCAACACAGATTTTTTTTTCAATTCATCATTCATTATAAATATCAACCTGTCGGAAGTTTAAAGCTGAAGTTTTAATTCCTTACCAAAATTGTTTTCCTTCCACTGCACAGGCACATACTCGTATAGTACAGAGTTGCTCATGAATGCTGAGTTGCTGGATTTTGTGTGTGTGTTTTTCCCCCCAAATAATGCTTCAATGCTGTTTCTTCTTTAAAAACAAAGAATTCAGATATACACATGGCAAAAAGATCAGAGAGAAAGTATCAATTTTGATCCTCCCAACTTTTGACAGTGTTTTTATTCAATTTCATCTAGTGACTACGGCAAAGGAAGTTCTTTCTCTACTTTTTCCATTAAAGGAGTAGTGCTAAAAAAAAATAAATAAATAAAAATAAAAATAAAGGAGTAGTGCTGTCATCTACTTAACTTCCTTACCATTCATTATAGGCTCTAACCCATCATAATGCTAGCAAAATATTCAGCACAACCGCACATCCATCAATAGGGAACCGGTTGTACAAATACGGTACATTCTTAGTAGTGGGACATGCAGCCATCAGAAAGAATGAAGGAGATCAAGATACGCTCACGTGGAGGATGGTCCATAACGTAAGTGATGAAAAGTCCGTGACCAGTGTGTATGATTTGTTTTATTACTAAGCAAAAATGGAAATCTATACACATATATAAATATGTCCATATAAATAAGTCAGGAAGAATGCCAACAAGATATAATTAGGGAAATTTTTCTCTTCTGACATTGCACAAAGAGTTTAACAGGGAGATTAGAGATGACTTTTTACCTATTTATTATCTCAAATTTTAAAAAAATACTCTGCCACCCAAATAGAAGGATACCTTCCTGGTAAAAGTAAGCTAATCCAAAGGTAATAACTATCATGCATATATACATATACATACACATACATATATGTCCATATACTGCTAAAAATCTACAATCCAAAAATTCTGCCTTGAATTCAAATGTTTATTATAGAGGCAAATTTATAAATAACTGCACACATACCACCACCCCCCCCCCGAAAAAAACCCACCAAACATGAATAACTGTAATTTGAAAAACCAGGGGGCTGGGCATAGTGGCACACACCTGTAATCCTAGCACTCAGGAGGCTGAGGCAGGAGGATCGTTGCAAGCTCGAGACCAAATTTGGGCTACAAAATAAGCTCCAGGCCAACCTGAACTGCACAGCGAGACCCTCAAAAAGACCAAAAAAAAAAAAAA